AAAGACACTCACTCACTCATCCATGTTGCCCATTCCGCGTTGTCATTCAGCGTTTGAGACCAGCCCGGCCCACTGCGGGGCTGAGTTCGGCTATGGCCGCCCTGTGGCCGACAACAATACTGACACGGGTGAGCCTAAAACGAAGGGACGTTCATGGCCACATGTGCCATACGTCTGTCTGTGTTGGTCCGTATTCAGTGCCTGGTGCGTTTGAGTCGGTCCCTGAGTCCAACATGGCTCACTTCAACAACTCGGATGCCCCCGGTATGACGAGAGGGGAGACGTCCATATGACTCACAGATACTTTCACTTGTGTGTGTGCGTCCTCCGCAGCAGCAGCGGCTCCCGCCCCTACCATCGCCCAGGGCGAGCCTGCCGGCGTCAATGACGAGGAGGGCGATAATGACGGCGAGGTGGTGGTGCCCGAGGATGGCGTGGCTGACGATGGTGAGCAACGAAACAAGGGCATTGATCCATCATGATGGACGTATGTGAACGCATCCATCTCCTCTCCCTTGGTTGACTGCAGGCGCCCAGCCCGCCGTCATTGACCCGCCGCCGCCCGCCCAGCTGCCCCAGCCCCTTGTCGTGGTTGAGAGGGCCATCCAGACTGATGGCATCATTCTCCAGACGACCATGCGCCAGCAGTAGGGAGGGAGGGATACAGACGACTGACGAACCAGACGCACACCGGCATTCACACATGTATGTTGCTGTGGTCCTGTTCTCATATGCAGCGTATCGGAACGGGCCTGGTATATGTGGGAGGCCGACCATGCGTCGAGCGCGGTAGACAACTGGGCCGTGGTAAGTGAGCCAACAGAGAAAACAACGGCAGGGTGCGCATACACGTGCATGGGATTCTCCATCTGTGTGTGTCGTTGCTCTGTTCCTTGGTTCAGGCTGCTGCCATCGAGATGGAGCAGTCATACTTTATTCTTTATTTCTAATCAGGATGCTGGATAACGTAGTGCATGGCGTGGACGGAGGTGCCATGTATTTTGTACAGGTTGGCTGGCTGCCGTGCTCGATTTGTGGTGGTGGATACGTGTGATTTGAGAGCCTGTGACGCTTTCATACAGCAACGACCATCAAACACATGCAAGGTCATTGATCTGGCGAGTTCTGGAATGTCATGTGTCCGTCGTCTCTGTCATCCAAGCCAAACACGTACGGGCCCTCATGAATCCATCCATCCATTGATGCGAAGCCAAAAGTGGTCGTGACTGTAGACACTCCACGCGTTTCATGCGATGACCAACACACATACGAAACGGTCTGTCGGTCTGCCTTTTTCCCCTCACTCCTCCTCTGTCTTCATGACTGTGTCCTGTGTGCCTGATCGGTGTGTGTCTGTTTCTTGACCTTCTGCTTGGCCTGGCTCCAACGCAACACAACACCACTCTGACCTCCTGCCTCACCCTGCCCTTTGGCCACTCTGAATCGCCTCCTGGCCCCCTCCCTCACGCAGTCGACGAGCGAGAACCGAGAGCTGTAGACGTAAGGCAGCGTCAGCACGACAGACGACAGAGAGGGGCAGCTGTCGAAGGTCTCTGCGACGCAGTCGGCGAACGACTTGCACATGTCCTTGACAGCAGCGAAGGGCAGGCCAGTCTGCCCGCGGCTGTGGCGCAGAGACACACGCAGCTCAATTTCCAGACGAGACACACGACGCTCCATGACCTGTCTGCCTGCCTCCCCCTCCCCGCCGTACACACGCCACTGCACAGTCAAGTCATCGGCTGGCGCTGCGTCGGACTGGCCACCATGGTAGCCGTACCGGTAAGGCTCAGCGTCAATCAACAACTTGACTGTCAGATCCTTGCCTTGACTCGACAGAAAACCCATACCCTCAGGCACGAGACACAGCTCAGCACTTGGGTCGGGCTTCACACGCACCTCAAACGACACCTCCTCGAGCGACGGCAGCGACCCCATGCAGACGCCCGCCCCTCCCTCATACAGGCGCATACCCGCATCGCGCTCATACACACGCAGCGACACCACACTGGGGAAGAGGCAGTGGGCATTAGACGTGATATAGGATGGGAGGGGCTGCGTGACAGAGGGCTGCACGTGGGCATGAGCGAGGTAGTGTGTATATGCCGGCTGCGGCGGCGGCTGGTTGCGGTAGCTGCACCGGATGGTCAGCTCTCGGGCCCGCTCGCACACCAGCGGGCTGAGGGCGGCCGTCCCCATCCCGTCCTCTGCATGCGACACGAGCGTCACGGGGTTGGCTTTGGCGCAGCACAGCTGCACGGTGGGGAGGCAGGTGGCGAGGGGGGCGACGTCGCCTTCGAAGGGCAGCAGGAGGTGGAAGTAGGTGCTCGTGTGGTACGTCTCGACCGCATCAGGTGCGAGGCAGGCAGCTCGGAACCGATGAATCCTCTGATGATAACCAACGCAGAAATCGACTGCTGGTGAGTCGACGTCTTCTCATGCTCACCTGGATAGTTTTGGGTGTCGGCATATCGAAGAGGCGCATCTCAATCTTCTGCAGCTTGGCTGCCGGGGGGGCTGAGATGACGTCAATGAACTCATCCTCGGGCGCCTTGCCGCCGCCGAGGCCGTAGTTGTGGTTGTAGGGGTAGTAGACGTGGGGGTTGTGGTCGTGGTCCCTGCCCGAGAATTTGAAGCCGGAGAGGGACGTGAGAGTCTTGGCTGTCACCACATGGAGGCACGCAATGAGGGCTGTGTCGATGGTAATATCCGCTGCCGCAACCCTCTCACCAGTTGGGGTGTCCTTGACGGAAGCGGAAACGTCTGTGAGCGACTGACGCACCACAGCAGGACGCACAGCATGACCAGTCTTGAGTGTGCGACGCTGGGCTGCCTGTTCGGGTGTCTTACGTGAAAGAAGGTAGAGTGGATGGATGTCAGGCCCTCAGATGCGCCGTCAATCCACGGCACCACCTGCATAAACACCCACCAACACACGTGTCGCGGCCCGGAAAATTCGTGTGCTGCATCCATTTCCGTGTGTGCGAGGGCTGACCCCGTAATGCCAAGAGTATTCCCCGTGGCGACTGAATATGGAACCACTCAGGTGCTTGAGGGCCGGGAGTGTGTACTTGCGATCTCGTGCGACGCCGCCCCACTTCCCATGGACGGCTGCCTTGTGGAGCTGCGGGAAGATGATGTGCTGCTGGGGAGGGGGCAGGTTGTCGTCGGGCTTGTTCTTGACGCCACGCAGGTCGACGCTCTTGATGCTGTCCTTGAGCTTTTCGAGCAGACGGATGAGGACGGGTGTGGGGGCGTGATTGATGCGGATGTCCTTACACTTCGAGAAACGACCTGAAGGAAGGCGATACACATCTGGATGCGGACACACGACGCATGGGGCCTCTGTTTGGGTATACCGGGCAGTTCCTTGGCGATGTCATTGGGTGGTGAGGTGTTGAGTTGGATGATGGGGTGCATGTTGCTGTCCTGGGTGAGGGTGTGGAAGGTGAGGGTGTGGAAGTGGCTGTTCACAGCCGACAGCGATGTCAGACATGGCACGAAACCAACGAAGGCTCCAAGTCCTGACACGCCAACATACCACACACATGCATCACCCCCGTCCCCTGGATACTCGTCGTCCACTCTCTCCTTTGCGTACCGAATTTCTCCTCGCTGCTCATCCAGAGGGCCTCAGGCAGCCCCTCGAGGCACGGCGCAACCACCTGCACACACCAAACAAGGGCGAGGAGGACACACAAACGCATGTGTCCGTGCATCTCCCATGTGCGGTGCGCTGACCTGTTGTTGGTGTAGTTTGTCGATTTTGTCTTGTATGATTTGTAGTTTGGCGACGCACTGGTCCAGCTGCCGCTTGACGGTGGTGTCGGTGTGGGTGGCGTGGGCCTCAGCATCAGCCGTCACCATCGCCGTCAACACGCGGTAGTGGCGGTCAACGTCCTGCATCATCAGCCAGCCACACACACATACACATGCACAACAAATCGCAGGGGAGCAGGCAGGATGTGTCGTGTCAACTGTGTGTCGTGTCGTCATCCTCACCTGCATGCGATTCTGCTCTGTGTGCGATCCGGGTGCGGCGAGGCCCATCTTCAACTCATACAACTCCTTAGCCTGAACGCAGGCAGGACGACACACACAACACCACACACATTCCTCTCCGGTGATCCTCACCCTGCCCCCCTCTCCCTCTCGCTCACCTTTGCTTTGGCGTGTTCGACGCGCTGGATCTGCGTCTGCAGCTTCTGCGTCTGCAGCTTCTGCGCCACGGCCTTGAGAGCCTCCAGCGGGTCGGCAGGAAACAACTCAACCACATCCTGACGGGCAAACACACGACACACAGACACCAGCGAGCCATAGATGAGCAATGCCCAAGCCATGCCGGTCCCTCGCGTGTGCCATCCCATCACGTGATGCGAGCGTACCTCCATCTGATGGTCCTCGTCTGCCGCTTGAGCCTTAGATCTGCCGCCCTTCTTCTTGGGCTTGGCCTTGCCGGCAGCCGCCTTGTCCTTCTTATCCACCCGCTGCTTCTTCTTAGCGGCCTTGGTGGTGCGGCGGCCCCTCTCCTCCCACCCTGACCCATCCTCCTTCTCATCACCGTCGCTGCTCACGCCCACATCCATCGACGGCTTTCGCTTCTGACCCACACCTGCCGCAGCCTCAGCCGCAGCGATGGCGGCCTGACGGGCGGTCATGCGATGCTCAACACCTTCTGACGCCATCGCTGCCGAAGGAGCGAGAAGAACGAGCGAGAAGAACGCGAGAAATAGGACAATAGCTCGCGACATCCTGGCCAACAAAAGGTAAATGGAACGACCCAATTTCTTTCCTCTCTTTCCCCCTTTGTCACGATGGACGTCAAGGACCGACCGGCTCGTCCCGTCCGCAAGGCCGCCATGGCCGCCTCATCCGCCGCCGCTGCCGCTGGTGGTGGTGGTGGTGGTGGTCGTGATCGCAAACCCGTCGATGTGGAGATGCTCAGCGACTGGCAGCCGTCTGACAACACGAGCAGCAGCAGCAGCAGCGGGTCGGACTGGGAGGGGAAAAAGGTGGTCAAAAAGGACCAGGGGAAGAAGAAGAAGCAGGTCAAGAAGGTCAAGAAGAAGCGGCCAGTGACACCTGAGGACATCGAAATGGAGGTACGGTACACACGAGGCAACAAACGCGACGAGCCGAGGGAGTGGGCAGGGGGAAAGTGTTGTGTGTTGTGCTGTGTGTTATGCGTTGTGTCAGGATGTGTTTGAGTTGGCTCCCGAGGACGCGTTGATGGCCCTTGAGGCAGTGGCTCAGCAGCTCCAGATGCACCTCAAGTGGATCAACGAGGCAACAGCTAAGGTAGGTGAGGAGGCTGAACGCAACACGATAGAGAGGGCCACAAACTGCCTTTCCTCTCTGTTGGTGTTTGTGTGTTGTGTGCAGGCTCAGCAGGTGTTTGATGCGAAGATGGCCCTCGAACCCGACTCAGACATCACACAGAACAGAATGGAGGTGACCAGCAAATGCACAAACCTACACACACACACACACACACGCCCTCACCCGTGTGCTGCTTCCCATGGCAGGAGATCAATCGCCACTACCGCGTGTGGTCGAGTATGGTGCAGAAGGCCGCCGAGCAGCAGGCCAACCACATCGACAAGACCGCCAAGCAACAGACCGAGCACGCTGTGGACAAAATCGACCTGCTGCAGGACAAAATCAACAAACTAAATGAGGAGGTAAGCCACCTGGGGAAGTGGCAGAGAGGTAGCCAGCTGCCCACGGCCACGGTGTCTGTGTCCTTGTCCATAGGTTGAGTTGTCGATTGAGGACCTGCCTGACGCCGTGTGGATGACGACTGAGGACGGCATGGGGCTGGGTGCCTACCTCGGCTTCCAGGCCTTCATGACGTCCCTCTCCGTCGCCAGCACATACTTCAAGGCCCTCAGCCGCCAGAGGGCCGTCCACCCCATCCTCGACATATCCGTATCGCCATCCGTGGACACCGCCAAGAAGTGGACGCGTAAGCAACGGGGCGATGAAAGAACAGACGGGAATGGGCACACACCAGATGTGTTGTCTTGTGTTGTGTTGTGATGTGTGCAGGTCGTTCGTTCTGCAAGCATCTGCTCATCAACCACCGCCCCACCCCGTCGCTGCTGTATCTGCTCGAGAGCCTGGCACCCACCGTCGAGAGCGTCGTGCTGCAGGGTTCGGTGTCCACTGAGAAGGAGGCACTGGGG